AGTGAAAGATGGTCAACATCATCAAGCATCAGGGTAATGCACATAAAAAGCACAATGAGATATTGCCTCACACAACTGGAATGTTTGAATGGCTATCATGAAGAAGACAAGACATTATCAGTGTTGGGGAGAATGTGGAGAAAATGGAACCCTTGTGCACTGTTGGTAAAACGTAAATTGGTTCATTTAGTATGGGAAATAGTTTGGAAGTTCCTAAAACAATTAAAAAAAAAAAAGAAAGAAAAGAGCTACCATATGATGCAGTAATCCTATTTTGAGGAATATAGCCAAAGGAGATGGTATCAGTATCTCAAAGAAAAATCTTCACTCTTACATTCACTGAAGCATTATTTACAATAGTTAGGATATGGACAGAGCCTAAGTGTTTGTCAGTGAATGGATGGATAAAGAATATGTGGTGTTTACATGTGATGGAATATTATTTGGGTATGAAAAGGAAGGCATTTGGGACATCACTGATGTACCTTGAGGGCATTATGCTAAGTGAGATAAGTGAGATAGAAGGCAAACACTGTATGTCATCACAAATATATAAAGTCTAAAAAACCTGAATTTGTAAAACTAGAGAGTAGAATGGTGATTAACATCGGTGGGATGGGGGCGGGGATAGGGAGATGTTAAAGGATACAAACAGGTACTAAAGAAATTCTGGAAAACTAATGCACAAGCAGAAAGAAGGGAATAATAAAATATTAGAACCAGGATGAATAAAATAGAGAATTAAGAATAGAGAAAAACAGGGAAGGCAAAAGTGAAACGGGTACACTGGGGCCCAGCTCCTAAGATGTCACCCTGTCCTACACTCCACCCCAGCTAGGTGTGCCTGGGAGGAAGATCCAGTGAGGGCTAGGGGACTGCAAAGCGGGGACAACTTCACTCCTCACCAATAGGCAGTCCCAGCCCTAGAGTCTGAAGAGTCCATAGAGGGCTTTGGCTCTTTGACAGAGGTAGCCTGAGCCTGGGCTAGTTCTATCTTTATATTTGTCCTTCCTTGGTAAGAGGAGAAGCCATGCTCCTTGGAATTACTCTGCACGGTCCTCTAGGAGTCGCTATTTTTCTGTAGGGAGGATTTGCACTGGGACTCCACCATCAGTCTGTTGTCCTCTAGACGAGATTGTGTGTGGGTAGATGAGACCCTGCTGTCCACGGAAGTAAAGTCAACCTCAAAGTAGGTTAGTGGATGCTTTATTCCTTGTTTTACTGAGGACTACAGCCACAGAGACACACTTTCAAAATGCTGTGATGAGCTGCTGAAACTTGTTAGCTATAGGGGATTATGAATTCAAATGGACAAGGGCGGGGGAGGAGGAAAGATGGTGGAGAAGTAGGGGACCCTATTTCAACCGGTCCCCAGAATTGAGCTGGATATCTACCAGACCACTCTGAGCACCCACGAAATCAGCCTGAGATGTAAGAAGATCTGGATCTCTACAAACAGAATATCGCAGGTGGTTGGTTTTGAGGTACAAAGCGGGAAGCCGTGATTCCGCGGGCAGATATCGGAGGCTAAACGGCAGCGGGAGGGAGCCTGGCCATGGGGATCCTACACTCTTGGTGAGCCACAGCCTCGCGCACTGGGGACGGGGCACAGACTCGCAGACCAGTAGCAGCGGGGAAAGAACTTTAGGGCAGCCCCCAGGATGGGAAGCCGGAGGGGCGTGGTCATGCATTCGAACTGGGAGCAGCTGGCGCTTTTAGAAGCACAAAGGGCAGAGACGTGCCCTGACCTGGAG